TGTTAAGAGTGAATGTCAGAGCTATCAATGGGCAGGGTCAGCTGCCTTTAAAGGGATAATTCCTTTCTTATGGTGATGAGACTCCCTTGGATTTACTGTGTGAGAAGATGGCATTATACCACATCACGGTAAGTGCGTACAAAGGCAAAGCTAACCTGGCTGCTGATAGACCTGCATGCTGAAAGTGCCTGATTAGAGTCTGGTTGCAGAATCTTTTATAACAAGCAGGAGTGATGAGTTAACTGTCTGACAAGGCACAAATTCATGCTCGTTCCTGACCTATATTTATTACAATGGATACACATAGGAGGGAGGAGAAACTATGCACAGGAAGCAAACACAATAGGGGCATGAACACAGGCAAAGCAAATTCTTTTTAACATTGGAATGAATATTCCCAGCAAACATGTCATGGTATTTGCACAGCTCTGCTTCCCTGTAGTAAAGAAACTACATTTTAGGAGGATTGTCAAGTTCTGTGCAGATCCAACAGTTTCTGCTGGGCTGGTTGCTGAATATACATTGCATGTGTTTTGGGGCTATTTCATGTTACTTTTGCACTGGGAGAAAGGGGATCAAATGTGTCATAGAGTCATAGAATATCAGGGTTGGAAGGGACCTCAGGAGGTCATCTAGTCCAACCCCCTGCTCAAAGCAGGACCAATCCCCCTGAGCCCATGACCCAGACCGTGCAGTCGAGAATCCCCACACATACTCTGGAGTCACTAGGGCACAGTGGTGCCTCTCCCCTCTCCCCAGCTATGTGGCGGTGATGCTGGCAAACCAGGCGCTAGCTCATGCCAAGGTCCCCATATCTCAAGTGAACACTGACAAATACACAGCTGGAGTCAGGCTGGCTCACCTGCGTGCTAGCATTGTTAAAATAGGCATTCGAATGATAAGAATGTGTTTAGTGCTTAGCCTTTATTAAATACGTGTGAGTTGCTGCCTGCATTAATCTCACTGATCACATTTGAATCCTGTGCTGTAAGGCAATATTTGAGAGGTTGTACTGCCAGCCTTAGGTCTGGTCTACACTGGGGAGCGGGGAATCAATCTAAGTTGCGCAACTTCAGCTACGTGAATAACGTAGCTGAAGCCGACAAACTTAGATCTACTGACCACAGTGTCTTCACTGTGGTGAGTCAATGGCTGCCACTCCCCCATCAACTCTGCCTGCGCCTCTTGCTCTGGTGGAGTAGGAGTCGACGGGAGAGTGCTCGGTGGTCGATTTATCATGTCTAGACTAGACACGATAAATTGACTCCTGCTGCCCATCGATCCTGCGGGTAATGTAGACAAGCCCTTAGTGACTGTGAAAACCATGAGAGCGGAGAGAGACATTAATTAGTGTGAGGGGCTGATCTTCAACAGAAGGAATGTTCTATAGACACCAGACTATTGTGGGAGGTTGCAACTGGAATTTCCCTACGTATCGTCTACAAGAGGACAAAAGACTTTTGTTGTTCTGCTCTCCTTCCTGCGAAGATGAGTCGTGCAACTGGACTCCTCCCACCAACTGAACTAGCAGCTCAGAGCATATGGCCGGAGGGGAATAAAGTCCTGAACAAGGAGGAACTGATTATTTCTATGCTGCTTGGACTGGGAGGGTGGGAAGTATTTTTAGGCATAAGCAAGAGATCCCCAGCTGCTTAGCCTGGGTTAGCCCTGAAGGACATACAGAGCTTGCTTATGAGAGAAGCTTCTATTACCTTTTGAAACTTAAGCTTGTAACTCATTTGTGTATATATGTCAACCTGCTTTAACTTTGTAAATAACTCATTTCCTTTTCCTATTTAATAAACCTTCATATAGCGTATCATAAGATTGGCTACAAGCAGTGTCTTTGGTGTGAGATCTAAGGTGCAATTGATCTGGAGTAAGTGACTGATCCTTTGGGAGTGGGGGTAACCTGAATATTGCTGTGATTCTTGGTACAATGGACCATCCATCAAAAAGGCATGTTCACTTGTGGGGTGACATAGATGGAGCACCCAAGGGGAATTGACTGGGACTCTGTTAAGGCTGTTAAAGTGTCTGAGGGGTTTACACTTGATAATTGGCTGGTAAAATCCAAGTATAGAGCTCACACCCAATTTAGGGTTGGCACTCATGCTCTTAAATCAGTGAAGGCAGCATTACAGCGGTCTTGGAGAGAAACTGCAAGGAGGAATCGGCCAGAGGCTCTGGGATAGTAGGAGCAGAAGCAGGCAAAGCAAGGACCTGTGGACATTCAGACAATTTCCTACAGTTTTTACTGGACTTTCTCTGCCCTGACCTCCTTGGCCATTTGCTCCTGCCCTCCCCCTCTCCCTCCCTCATAATCTCTTCACCTTGCTTCACTCCATAGCCCCTCTTCCCCCTTGCCCTATCCTCCTCATCCACTTCTCTTCCATTTTCTTTCCAGTTTGCCGATCCCCTCCTATCTGCCCCCACCCCCCAAAAATCGTGGAACTAACATGCTGTGTGCTGCCATTCCATTGTTCACTCTGCTTGTGTGTTCTACCCCTTCCCCCACCCTGTGTCTGGCCTGTCTATTTCTCTTGGAAGCTCTTTGGGGCAGGGACTTTCTGCTCCTCTTTGTGCAGCTCCTAGCACAATTGGGTCCCATTCTTGGTTGGGCCTTAGGTATTCCTGTGATAAACATGATTAATAATAATAACAACAACAACAAAGCTTGGATCAGGACTAGGAGATTGGGGATGACAGCAAAGACATACATCAAGGAGGGCTAGAAGAGAGTGAGGGAATTAATCTGAACAGGCTATTTACACTGGTAATGTGTCTCATTTGTGGGAGAGGACCTTTCTGATTAAAATGAGTGGTGTAGCACACTCACATACTGCACACAGCTGCTAATTAGGGAGGCCTGAGACCCCAAACATTAATCTTCGAGTCTCAAACCATTAACTTGACCAGGTGTAATGTCTTCCAGGTGACAGAGGTTAATAATCTGCATCCAAAACAAAGCTCTTCAGTAAATACAGTCAGCTAGTTTCAGTGGCAGAGACAGCACCATGCTGGGTCTGGAATGCCCAAAACAGGGGCTTAAAAATCATGGTAAAAGAGAGACACTGCAGTGCTGGACACGCTGCTTTTGGGGTGGGATGTACCACTCAGGGCCGGACCACTTATGGCAACGGAAAGTGGGTAGCGTCTTACGCAAAGAGCTCAAATGCTAGCCCTGGTGTCCAGATCAGATTGCAGTATGGGTAGTTACTAGATCTGGTAAAAATAAAAATAAAAATGCCAATGCTTTCCAAGAAGTGTTTTCGAACAAAACAAAACAAAATTTAATTTCATTCAACATTTCCCCCCCCCCCACATTTTCAGGGTTTTTTCGGGGGGTGAATCAATGCCAATAAAAATGTTTTGAGTCAAATTGAATGGAACAGAAACCGAAATATTCTGGCTTTCAGTCTTTGTTGATTTCTTCTATTTACCCTTTTCCTCACCAGCAAAGGGGGGGGGGGGAAGGGAGAGAAAACAAATAGAAACAAAACAAAAGCACTGAAAAACAATCTTCCCATTGCCGTTGAACTAAAATGAACGTTTCTTATTTGCATCATTTTGTCAAAAATTGGAAAATTTAGATTTTTTTTCACAAAAATAGTCATATAGTTTAAACAGGCATTTTTCATTGAAGAAGAATTGATGCAAAATGTTTGCCCATCCCTAGCAGTTACCATTCACTCTTTCTTGTCAACTGCTGGAAATGGCCCATCTTGATTATCACTACAAAAGGTTTATTTTTCTCTCCTGCTGGTAATAGCTCACCTTAACTGATCACTCTCATTATAGTGTGTACGGTAACACCCATTGTTTCATGTTCTCTGTGTATATAAAATCTTTCTACTGTATTTTCCACTGCATGCATCCGATGAAGTGGGCTGTAGCCCACAAAAGCTTATGCTCAAATAAATTTGTTAGTCTCTAAGGTGCCACAAGTACTCCTGTTTTTTTTGCGGATACAGACTAACACAACTGCTACTCTGAAACCATTCACTCTTTGTCGCTAGTAGATATAAGTATCTCACACCACATCCTGTCCTAGTCTGCGTAGTGTTGCTTGGTTCCATGCCACAGCTCCCGCAGTGTCTAATAACAAGGAAGGAATTACCTAGGTCACTAGACAACAATAAATGGTACAAGTGTGGAGTAACCCTCATGGCTACCTAGACCCATTTAACTTAAGCCCCCAGGGGCAATTGGACCAAACTTACCTTCCTTCCCCTCTCTCGGGAAAGACCCCTTGCTGGAGATGAAAAGAGAAGCACTGCGCAGAAGTTAGAGAAAGAATATCTGAGGGATCCAGTGTGACTCTCCCACGTTGCTTTGCAGGGTTCAGCCCACGTCATCACTTTGATTTGTTTTTAGCATGAGGAAAGACTTTGCTTCTCATTAGGTGAACTGACAGGAATGAAAAGCTGAATAACGGAGACAGTTTAATTAGTTGAGCCAGCAGTCTTGCCCCTCCCATCCAGATCCCTTAAATGTCCATCTCCCACCCCCTGTGAACCTCCTCACTCTCCATCACACTCCAGTAAGCTCTAGCTCGCACTTCCTGCAAACATCCAGTAGGCCCCAGTTCTCTCCCTCCATAAAACCTTCCACTAGAACCCAACTGCCTCCTCCTCCTTTCAATAGGCCCTTGCTACAATCTTCCTTGTGTCCCCCAAATATGCCTCTGCCAAATCCCTGCTAATGACTTTCCAAAAGGCCTCACACCCCTCCTCTTTCCCCATGACCCTTCAAATGGACCACGACTCCCACCCACTTGTACCTCTGGTGTGTGTGTGTGTGGGGGAGGGGCTGCATGTGTGCACATGTGTGTGTGTGAGTGAGAGATGGGTGACTTAGTGGGGTTAACAAAGAAATATCTAAGACCTTAAAAGCTCCATTGCTGGGGCTGGGAGCTCTTTGGCAGAGGTACCCAGACAACCTGGCCAGCCAAGAACCAAATAAAAGGATTGCCAAGGAGATCACCCAGTGAGGCAGAATAAGAATGAAAATAGTGCTTTTAATATAATTTACAGCAAACTTACAGTATACATTTTCACATCACGCATTTCTAAACTGCTCATCTCGAAAATATAGCTGCAAAAATACAGAATGCAGTACTCAAAATATACTGAGTATATGCTCAAATAAATCTCTAAGGTGCCACTAGTACTCCTTTTCTTTTTACTGAGTATGTAGTTTCTTTTTCTTTCTTCTCTCTTTCTTCTCCCCACCCCCAAATCAATCGTACAGTAAAATATTTTCTTTTCCAAACCAGGTTTGGATTTATTTCGGAAGTGCTGCTAAAAAGCCCTCAAAATCAGAAGCAGTCCAGATAGCACATTTCAAAGAATTTTTAAAAGAATCCTTCCACTCTGGCACAATAACAATGGATTAACATGCAGCCCAAGGTGGGGAAAAGTCAGCTCATCAAGGTTCAAGGGCAGGAAGCTGCAGATCACTTATGATATGAATTTTTGGAAACAGATGTGGCATTAGCCTATGCAGAGAGGTTCTTGCACGCAAAGGCAGGGTGGCATATACAGGGGGCTCTAAGTGGGCAGAGAGAAGAATGTGGAAGGCTTGCATGTTCATAATCAGAGTAACCTCCACTCAGCCATCTTGTATATGCAGCAGGGGGACCTCTGTGGAAGAGTTTCATAGGCACAGGCAAAGCAACCTAGGTGGGATTGTCTTGCATGTTCAACAGGATGACCTACACATGGAAGTGTCTCATGGGCATGGCTAACGCTGTCTGACAGAATCATAAAAATGCAGGGCTGGAAGGAACCTCGAGAGGTCATTACGTCCAGCTCCCTGTGCCGAGGCCAGATCAATTAAACCTAGACCATCCCTGATAGGTGATTGTCCAACTTGTTCTTAAAAATTTCCAATGATGGGAATCCCACAACCTCCCTTAGCAGCCTATTCCAGAGCTTAACCACCCTGATAGTTAGAAAGCTTTTCCTAATATCTAACCTAAATCTTCCTCGGTGCAGATTAAGCCCATACCTCCAGTGAACATGGAGAACAATTGATCGCCATCCTCTTAATAACAACCCTCAACATATTTAAAACCTTATCAAGTTATCCCTCACTCTTCTTTTCTCAAAACCAAACATGCCCAGGTTTTTTAACCTTTCCTCAGAGGCCAGGTTTTCCGAACCTTTTATCATTTGTGCTGTTCTCCTCTGGGCTCTCTCCAATTTGTCAACATCTTTCCTAAAGTGTGGCACCAAGAACTGGACACAGTTCTCCAGCGGAGGCCTCGCCAGTGTCAAGTAGAGAAGGACAATTAGCTCTCTGGCTTACATATGACACTCCTGATAATACACCCCCAAATGATTTTAGCCATTTTTAGCTAATAGAAGATCTCATGCACTTGGGGATGTCACCCAAGGAGGGTCTCATACCCAAGAGCAGTGACATCAAACTTTTGCCAGCGAAGACTTGAACTTTCTAAGAATGGGGGAAAAAATTAAAACAAGATTCCGTCAGGATTTGGAAGTTCTCTAGAAGGGCAAACATAATGCTGACTGGGGCAGGTGGTAGGTCTTCTGCATCTTGACACACTGGCACTTTGTTCCCTCTAGTTTCACGGAGCAAAAGATAAGGAGGAGAGAATGGAGGCAGGGAATAAAAGTCTCTAAAGTTCCCATTTGCTTAAAAGCCTGCAATGTTTTCTAGAGCCCCGGAGGGATTAGCTGGCTGAGTCGGATCAGGGAAGCTTGTTTCCCAACCCGCTCTGATCTTAACACTCCCAGTCTATTCAGTGGGAACTACAGCTGAAAGATCTCAGGGGATGAGGAAAGTAATAAAGTCACACTGGCATGGCAAACTTTCCTCACCATTAACACCCTGCATAAAGAAAACAATGAAAGAGAAATCAGATCCTCAGTAATGTTGCTTTTCCTACCATCATGAATGAGATTGACCAGTTCAGGCTGGGAAATACTGGTTGTTCTACTCACTGCCCACTTTAACTAAAGAACTGCTCTTTCTTGTATAAATCGCCTGCCTCGTTGAGGTTCTGATGGTGCTCATGTATCGTACATACGGCAAAGCAATGCTGTATATAGGCAGTGTTTTCCCATTGAATGCCTTTGCCACATTTCTAGTTTACACAGTCACAAACATTCCCAGGTCTGGAATGGTTTTTAAGCCCATATAGCAGAAGAAGAAATATTGTTGTTGTGGGGTGCATCACAACTCTAATGAATACCACATTTACTTTATTTACATGGTAATCACGTATAATACAATGCAAAACAACACAGCATTCCATTTCAACGGTAGGCACTATGGGTTTAAAAAGGTCACAATTCTTCTCCCCCACCCAGTTGGGCATTGCACCAAAGAGAAACAAGAGATCACTTTTGCTTGAAAATACTATCTTGTCCCAGGGCCACTGGACTTCCCTGCTGAGCTCTGATCTAGGACAGATGCTTTCCAGGTGTGGATGATGGGAACTGCTTTCATGCACTAAGGAATAAGACGCAATGGCTAGAACTCTTCAGCAAGTGGAAATGTCAGGGAGCCACCAGGTGCCTTAGAGCATTCAGGTCTGGCAGAAAGCATCAGAGACTGTGGGAGAAGGGTTGCATCTTTATTCGAGTGTGTGTTAGCAAGAGACATGAGGACCCCAAAAGACAACACTGAGATAAGGGTTGACAACAGTAAATGCCTCAATGTTTGTGAGAGACTATTCTGTAGGAAGGATAAGCATTTTGAAGGGTAAAAAAGTATGGGGCAGAGAACAGATACCTCTTTGTTGTCCTGACGATTGACAACTTGGTTAGGTAGGTGGACTATGTTAGGCCTTTCACAACGCTGACTTCTACGATTCTGTTGGGCTATTGTGCCTGATATTATAGCTGTACAAACAATGCAAACAAATTTCCATAAATACTTAACTTTTGGTACCTGTTTGCTTTGCCAGTGATCATGATTGTTTTGTGGTTGCTCTCTGGGATTATTCTAATGAAGGGACTAACTGGCAGAAATGTTCTCAGAAGCAGAAAAATTTAAGCAGCTATTCATGTACCTGAACAGTGAATTTTTAGAGTCAGATCCTCAGCTGGAATTAATTGACCTAATTTCTGTAGAGCTATGCTGATTTACACCAGCGAAGGATCTGACCCTGGACTCCTAATCATGAATAGAGGCACCAAAAACCCGATTCTAAAATTACATCCATCTGGTTTGGAAATAGAAACATCCCGCCTGACTTACATGTCCAATCAAAATTAACCAACCCAGGCCAAGTATCAAATATTCTTAATAAGTGGTTCACAATCAATCTACAGGCGAAGGGTTATATGCAGAAATTTTGGGCAAATAAATTAGAGAAATTTTAAAACTATTCACTGACAATTCACAAAGGGGGGCGGAAATGGAAATTCAGCTAATAAATTATTTGTCCACTCTTCCTGATGTGTTTCTTATTGCTTATTGCCAGTGGTGACACCCACTTCATGGAGAATCGCTCTAAAAATTATTGCACTTGAAATTATTGGCATATAACTGGTATTTTCCTTTTTTATTGGGACTCCTCACATCAGACTGTGACTGTCTGCTCCAGCCCACTTGACAATTGGCAGCTTTTGTTCATAATTTTCTCTCTTTTCTTTTTAATCACAAGGATAACATATTTTCACTCATTCCAAGGAAAAGAACATGACTAATTTGCTCATAATTACACAGAGCCTGCCCTTGCCCCATTGAATTCAGGGAACAAGATCAGAGCCAAAGATTTTACTAGGCAACACTAGTTAAAAGAAAAATACCCAATATCTAAAAACTGTCTAGAGAGTATGTTCTTGTGAAGCAATTGAATTAAGACTTGCATTTCCTGGAAAAGTCAGTGGAATGATGGAAAAATGTCATTTACACCTTATAAGGAATGACAGATTTAATATGTAAAAGCAAGAAAAAATGGGTCATGTTTTTAGTGTAGCTGATGGGCCGAAACTAAATGAGATGTTCTGGTCTCTCAGGCCAATGCAAATGACAGTGTTAATATCTTTGAATAGAGATTATTGGCTTGATAGGACTAAATTGCATTATTTGCATTTGCATTATTAAGTGGGGGGAGGAGGAAGGCACCATCTAGCTAAAGGAACTTTAACAGTCTTTTGCAAAATTACTGGTGTGAAATTCAGGCTGGTGAAAGAGCCCAGTGGACAGCCTGTAAGAGATGCCTAAAGGCGGAGGCTTTGAAATATGGCTAAAATCCAAATCTTATTGAATGCTAGCTGAAGTTGGGTGCCTAATTCTCTTAGGGACCTTTAAAAACCCAGCCACAATGCCCCCTCATTGTCATTTCTTCCCTTCTAGAGTCCGTCTGATCCATCATAAGATCACACCAAGCTTGGCTTATACTAATCACTAGAACAATCACTGGCTCATGCTCATTTACAAGAAGTGTATTTTAGCCATCTCTAAGCAAGGATATACTGCAGGGGACTGAAACTGCCAAGTCACAGCGAACTGAGAGTGCCACAACCTTCCAGGATTGGAACCCTGGCTCAGTGGGATCATAGAATCATAGAATATCAGGGTTGGAAGGGACCTCAGGAGGTCATCTAGTCCAACCCCCAGTTCAAAGCAGGACCAATCCCCAATTTTTGCCCCATATCCCTAAACGGCCCCCTCAAGGATTGAACTCACAACCCTGGGTTTAGCAGGCCAAAGCTCAAACCACTGAGCTATCCCTCCCCCCATGGTGAGTCATGAGAGGAGTAGGTAACACGGGAACAAGTGAACTTTGCTTTAGACAAGGAGAAGAGCGCAGGGGCCTTTGCCTGTTCTCTCTCGCTCTCTGCAAGGTCAAAGCAGCTCAGAATCACAACCTTTATTACTTATACTTAGGACGTGTTTTTCCAGGGCCCCAGGCACAAAGAAACGGTGTGAAGTTTGCACACATTAATCACATCTAGTGAGCAAGAATGTGTGAGTGATTTGGAAGCCTTATATCTATAAAGATGGCTCATGTGACACTAGGGAGGGATACATATGGATAACTGGCTTTAAAGGCAGAATGGGAATTTGTTTGGAAACCTCTCTGAACAAAGAACAAAAAAAATGTTTCAGTCCTATGACGTATTTGCCTAAGAGCTTTTAACACCAATTTTCCCCACTCCCTCTGACAAAAAACAAAACAAACAACGCACCTAGCTCATCTGAATCACAGGGGAAGTGCTGAGCCCAACATGTCCAGCTGTGAGAAATATTCTCGAACAGCAGCAGCAACAGACTCTGCCTCCTGGTAAAGTTTCACAACTCACAGTGTTGGTAGCCTTGAGAAAAGGAGTACTTGTGGCACTCCTTTTCTTTTTGCGAATACAGACTAACACGGCTGTTACTCTGAAAGGTAGCCTTGAGGTTGCCTCTGGGTCTGTTGTGGAGTGAGACTGCTGATTGCTAAACTGAGTCTGCTTTCCCTCCCAAGACACGGTGCACCCTGGGAGAAAGCACAACTGGCTGATGCAGAAAGGTGTGGGTACGATGCACAGCCCTTAGCATCCCTTTAGTTAATGAAAAATAATTGGGGATCACATATTGCATTTTGGAGAATATAAAGATAGTCTAAAGATTTTCTTAAAAGATTCTTTGTACATGCCCTAACTATTGGGAAATTCTTAAACCCCTCTTCAAATGTCTTCTGCTCACCCCATCATTTCATTTGTAAGCATTGCTAGTTCAACTCCATGGGAGTGAATTCCTCCCCTCTCCCATAAGGCTCATATCCTTCTCAGACAGGATAATGGTAGCATGAGAGCTGAGATTTGATGCCTCGAATGTATGGGCTCTCCAGAGCGTGGTGTAGGACCCTCCTATTGAACAGGGGGAAGTGGGTGGGTTTGGCTTGGTAATTCAAGTGATCTTAAAATTCTCGTCATGTCATCGTGCAACCAAAACCCTGAGGAAGGCCGGAAATTTGAATGGAAAGATGTCTCCTCCTCCCGAGAATGCTCTTTGCTCTGGTGAGATGCACAAAAGGGTGGGATAGGAACTTTGAGAGATGATTTCCACAAGTATAAAGGGATGGTCTCAAACTGCACCATGTCATTTAAAGAGCCCAATGTGCAAAGTACCAATGGCCTGATTCTGCTCTCACTTGTGCCACTTTCACACTGGGATCCCCCCTACACTAATTTCATTGGAGCCACTCCTGATTTACATCTGTGAGAGTGAGAAGAGAATCAGGCTCCAAATGGTATGCTGCATTTCCCAAAATATCTCCTTAGAAGGCTGTCACCAGGCAGCAAAGCACAGGGTTTGGGGGCACTGTTGATTCTGAGATAGGCTCAACAAAAAACCTGAATCCAAAGGCTCTGAGCCTGGGGGAAGTAGGATCTGAGCTTCAGAACTTGGGGCTTGCCTCTGCTTTCTCCTCTCAGGAAGAGAATCTTTCCAATTCCATCTCCTGCATGGTTAAGTTATTCTTGAAAAAGGAATTGAAGTGCCCCCTAAAGCTATGTGGCACCCATTTTTGGGGTGTAGGAGGCGGAGTTGAGATTATTCACCCCTGACTGTACAATTAAAAGTAGGGAACATGCAAAACTTTGAAATGAGCAAAGCAAAGAAACAGCTGGGGCACTCCGAGTATTTGGTTTCAAGTTTTGTTTTACATGCATGGATACACCTCTTTCCCCTGTGACAGCACCAAAACTCTATGATTAAAGCCCTTGATGATACTGGGATCTGACGCTTCCTAAAAAAGAGCATTTCAAAAGCAATGTTATCAAAAGAAAGAAACAGAAAATCACAATTTCACAAGATACAAAATAATTAGGTACAAAAGTATAAAACAACCCAGCTCAGGCTGAGCTTCCCATACACAACCAAGACATCAGATTAAGATAAAAAAAAAAGGAAAAATAAAAAAATCCCCCAAACAAACAAGTGAAGTGACAGTACATGCCCTGCAATCTTGTTTCCCGTAACACTGGTAAGATGGGCTTTTGATTGTACATTCAATTACTGGCAAACCATAGCTCTAGAACGCCTTTCAGTTTGTTTTGCGTCATGCCAGCATATTATTCTCATTCACCCTGGATTTTGAGAGAAAAAGAATCCAAACCGCAAAAGGGGTTATAGATTTTCAAGAAATCAGGCATTGAGACATGTTGTTTGTGACGCGCGCGTGTGTTTAGTATAAAACGATGAGTTAGCATCTGAAAAAGGCAACATTCTATAAGCAATACATTTTCAAAATAAGGAAAACTGTACAGAAAGATTTCAAAGGCTTATAATTGACAATTATACATATTTTATGAGACAGATATGCAACCTGTCCCTTTGTTTAATTCATTGGCTTATGGATGCAGTATCTCTATTTTAGCAGACAGGATATAATAAACTGATCTAAATATCATTTACCACCCAATAGATACAAATGGTACTGCATAATGCTCCTTTCTCCCCTTCCACTCCTCTCTTTATCAAATGATTCTGAACAAGGCTCCAAGCCAAGAATAAAAACATATATAGTTACAATATTGGTTGAGTATTTGGCACAGTGCAGCTTATTTGATATACTGGGTTCTTTGCCCTTTTTGTTGCTGAACATTTAATGCAGTGCATAAATTACAAAACACGCCAGTAAAGTAAAGTAAAGTAAGTCAGCTGGAAATTGTCTTATGCTGCCAGCTTTTAATTGTCTCAGTTAGAGCAAGGTCTGCTAAAATGGTACTGAACACGAGTGGCAAGGTAACCTCACTGTTCCATTCTGAGGATTTTGGTGTGTCCATTGCCAGCAATGAACATGACTCTGGGAAGCTCACCCACTCCTGGGATACATGGGAGTTACATCCTGTGTTTAGTCTGACATGACGGGTTATGTTTCTAAATGTTTGCAGGTTCACAACCGCTTTAAAAGACCAACCAAAAAAACCAGGATTTTGAATTAATAATGCTAACCCTTAAAATGCTACTGACATTTACTCCATTGGAAACATGGCTGGTTTCAATTATGGTTGGAGAAAATTCATTACACACAGCCACTTTTTATTGCTTAACAGTAGGAATGTCCTGGAAAAAGATCATATAGGAAAAGTCCGATCCAATGCCCACCGAAGTCTACAGAAAGACTCCTCTTGATTTCAAAGGGCATTGGACAAGACTCTAATTCAAGAGATCATGCCAGTTCTTTCCGAGGATCCATGGGGGCATCTCCTATAGAATCTGGGTGTGATTTTCAAAAGTGCTCAGTATTGCCCTAACTCTTGTCCAAGTGAGTAATGGCCAATATTTGGGTGCTTTTGAAAATTCTGCCCCTTTATGGGAGCCCTGAATGCAACTCTAAGGGCAACATTTGGCCCTTAGTAAGTCAGATCCTGCACTGTTTCCTCACTTGAGTGGTCTCCTTGAAATTAATGGGACTACTCATGTGAATAGAAATTGTCTGAGTATGGATTGAAGGACTGAGCTCGGTATTCTCTCTCTCTCTCTCTCACACACACACACACAATAATTTTAAGGAACACTCCCATCTGACCTTTGACTGCAAATAATATATATTTAAAAACTGGAGAGTACATAAACAAAGGGTCTCTCCATCTATGTATTCACAGAGCCATATGTCATATGAAGAAATAATCTGTAAATTATTATAGTATATGAGAATTCTCCAACTGATAATTATTTTCATAGAGACACAGAGCATTCACTCTCTCTTTTAATTTCTTTTTAATAATGCATGTCCTCATTGGTTTGACAGTGCATCAGAAAGAAGGCATACAGATTAAAAAAAATGCAATGGATTAGCTGAATCCCTGGCATGATGTTGTGGCATATTGAAAAGAAACCAGAAAAAAAATGCAATTGGTATAATAAGTTCCCCCTATCGAACACGGTCAGTGATTTAAGGGTTAATATAAATTTGAAAGTAGTTTAAAAAAATCTTAAAAGGATTATACAGACAAATGTTTGGAATTTTTTAAAAAATGACAGAACATTTGGCAAGTGTAAGCAAATGACTTGAACTTTACTGGGTTTTAAAGATCTGAGCACAGCCATTCACAGAGAACCGAAATCTGAGGTCTGCTGGAAGGACAGTGGAGCCTTTTGACCAGCAATGTGTGCTGGCTAGAGGGTATACGGGCGCATTCAAAGTATCTAACATGGAATCATGGCTGGTGACAGAGTGTAAGTAGTTTAATAACTCCAGCACTCTTCCCTCTCTGACATCACTGAGAGAGTGCATTGGACTTCAACAGCACCCAGACTGGCTAACCCTTTAGCCCATATTGCAGAGATGACAGGGCCACACAGATCCCTAATGGCATGCAGAGTCACTAACGCTTATTCTGGAATTGCTGTTATTTGCTTGTTTCTTCTCACCAGGTGCCCAAGAATGTCCATCTGATGAGGTCTCCGACAAAACCCTGGGTTTGCAGCTCCCAATGCCCTTGCAGGTGATTCTATCCTGGAAGATTGTACCATCATCAAAGGGGCTGGTACCCAACAGAAGTGGTTTCGTGTTCTCTCCAGCACTCCGGCAGGATTTCAAAAATGATCCCATTAAAAGATTTTGTTATTCTGAATCCTTGGCTCAAAAGGACAAAAGTTTCCTGTTTTTTAAATTTTATTCTCTCTCTCTCTCTTAATTAAAAAGGACCCATATATTATTAATATAGAGTTCATCCATCCTTAGTCACTATAAAACAGACTCCATGTTTTCACACCATTCGTGATCTTCAAGGTTATAGATAAATTTTGTCCTCTGTGACTGGTTTTGGGGCACAGAGTCCCGCCCCAGATTGTCTAGAGTGAGAGTAGAGGCAAAGAATTCACTAGTGCTCAGCCCACCTTCATGGTTCTTGATGTATCTTTTATAGTTTTTCCTCAAGCACTGCCAGGTGGTTGTGTATAAGATGAATGCGAAAGATTTCAGAGCTATAGCAATGCTAACATACAGGTATCTATAGACGACATTGTCATACAATACGCAGGCTCCTTGCTCGCCGCAAAACGTGCTCCAGAACAGACATGTTGAGTCAATTCCAGCCCCAAAGATCAAGGGTGGCGGGATAAAACCTGTCAAAATAAAAGAGACATATCATGCTGTAGTGACCCTTGGGGTAAAGGGACAGGACTCAGCCATAGTGAGTGCAAAGGGGATTTTTAATTAAGGCTGGTGGATGCCGACAAATCTTGTGGTTCTCTCAGGATCTCTAATTCCAAGGCAAACTAAACATATCTGGTGGGGACTGTCACCCCACGTGATCCCCTGAAGAACTGGCCGGGGTTCAACAGTTATGGAGGGGATCGCTCACTATCCCACAAACACCACAACTCAGTTTTAAGTCGTTTGTCCTTACACTTCTGATTTGCTGTTTGAACATAGCCTATTAAGGCTGGTCACAGAGTTTCATAAAGAAGCAGAGAGGGGCCTAAGCTATGAAACTTGGCTCTGGATGGTTCATGGTGTTCGCATCCAGGGTTTTCCTGAAGTCCACTACAAAGTCTGAAATTAGCTGTGGAGTTCAGATCCAGATCTGAACTTTCCCCAAGTTTGGGGGCGTCCAGATTTAGGATCTAAGGAAGAGGGAGAATGATCTCTAATAAGTGCAGGGGAATGGACCTGAAAGAAAGTGATTCTGTCATTATCCCACAAAGTGAAATACCACAGCAGAACTCTCTCCTTGAATCACTGCAGTTAAGGGCAAATCAGCATTTCTCAGCTGAACTCTGCTGTGAGTGGTTCATAACAGGGCCATGACCTTAAAGCAATGCCCAAAGTCTCATTAAACTCACTCAGCAATACAATCTTTGGGTTCCCCTTTCTGCTTGGATACTGCAGGGATCTTCAGTCTTACATAATCAAATACATAAATGTCTTTCATTCTGACAAGATCCACAAGTGCTTTACAGACAGTGGGCACCGAAAGAGGAGATTTAAATCCCACCTTTGAGCACATAAATTGGCATTTGTGCACACCTTAACAATCAAAAGAAAGTTCTGGAAGCTTTATGTAGTAGGAATCATTTCACTCACCTCTAAGATATTTTTGGGTAGTGGAAAACAACATTGATTTAAAACTGATTACTAACATCACTGCTAGGGTTTAGGACAGGAAGTGAAGAAGAATATAATCTCCAACAAAACAACAGAGCCAATTTTAGGTTCGCAGAACATAATTTCTCCTACTGGAATTTGGCCAACACCCCATTTCCAGATACTGAGGTGACTGGAGCTCTAGAAATACGAATGTAGACAGAGAGACATATGGGTTGCACTATCTGGCAGAGGGCTGATGAATTAAGGATCAAGCTTCACCATTAACTCTGGATTTCTTGGCATAAATGAGACACCATTCCTTAGCTTGACATGAATGCCATTTCTTTGCTGTATGACAATATATGGCAGGAATACAGATACGTTGTTTGCCTTCTCCTTTGCCTCTGGGATGTGAAACCTCTTTATTTCACTCTGTTAATGACTAGAACTCTGCAGATTTTTGTTTGATCTTTCACATTGGCTAATAAATGCAGAAGTTATCAGGCTATGTCAGCTTTCAGTACTTCCTTTAATCAGTTATTAACACCAGGGATATAAACCAGTAAATAAAAACAGATAACTGGCCAACAAAAGGATATTCCCTTCAACTGTAAAGTGTGGTAATGCCCTGAGAAATGACACTGCACCTCTCGCTATTTGTTTTCTTAACGCTTTCCAGATCAAGCTGGGCTGGTTTGCAAGTTAAAAGGTGATTTTCTTTTTAAATGAGTGTGGACAACCACAAACTCAACCTCGGATCTGAAAATTCAGCTCCAGAACCAAGCTAACAGATGGTGTTGATGATACACAAGGCAGAATGGAATCCAATTTACTCTCCCAGCGCTGAACTGGCTCTAGAGTGCCATAATAAGAGTAAAAACTAGATGTTGGCATGAACAAAACGCCCTGGGATCCTTAAGCTCTTGGGACCTGTTTCATTGTCCCCAAGAGCCAAACCTGAGCTGCATAGGAGCTGTGAATAAACTGAGGTCTTTAGGGAAAACAGCTGTGAAAAACTTTCAACCCAAGCAACCAGTTTGCGTTGAAGACCTTTTTGAGTGCTATCTCCACAAGGACAAGGGCTAGAGACTTCCAACAAGTGAGACTAGACTTGACATGTAGAGTGCTTTGGAATTAAGGGAGGTCTATGGCCTCCAAAGCCTGGCTCGATGGACATGCCTTGCACTTTCAGTGTGTCACACTGAGTGATGCTAGGAGGCTGGATTTAAAACAAAACTATCAGAAACTCCATTGGTAGCCAGATATTGCACTTGAGCTGCATGTTTTGGGGACAAACTGCAAACACCATCTGGAAAGGGAAATGTCCAGGATCTTATTGTCATGCATAAATCTATTTGCCATTTCAGTCGTGCATAGTTAATGCTGACAGTTGCCAATGCAATCAGGATGGAATTACCAGACATGTTTGACTTGTGCCATTTGCAAAAGTTTTTTCACCTTTAGATAAGCCTGAGATGCAAAGTTCCAATCCAGATCTGAACTTCCCCAGCTACTAGGAGTGGGGTATTTAGGTATGCACTTTCAACTCAGGTCCTTTCAATGACAGCATATATGAAGAATCGAGATGGTATTTGGAAAAGAATCTCCATATCAGAGCCTCTTATACAGTAGCTGAAGCTTTCAATACCATGGGGGCTCCACCGGAACTGTTTTAGTTTCTTTTCTAAGAACCCACAGTAACACTTTCATACCAAGACATTAATATGCTGCTCTATCATATCAGAATTCCTATGGAATAAGATAATACATCTGGCAGGATATCAGGAGACTTCAGTCATGTTTCATGTTATTACAGTGAATATTAAAGAGATTCAATCATGCTCTACTTCTTATTGCAAAGTGTTGAACAAATTGCTGCTATATACATTTTAGAGCAGAAACTGCAGAGCTGTTTAAAGAAGTATCCTCTGCCTTACTAAAATCTATTAACTCAGATTGCACCTCCGGGTCTCGTACCTCAGATATTTAATACTCTCCTTTGGTTCAAGAAGAAGCTATTATTAGTCCCCTTTTAAGTCTAAGCTGAAAGGTGAACTGAAAAAGCTTTTAAAATCAACCTACCCAGAAAACCTCAAATTATTAAGGGCGCGTTTTGGATATCTTCATTCACATTGAGTAATACCTTATCCTCGTGTAGTCCCCCATAGCTGAGCTGATATCCTCCTGGCTGTATTATCGTATTCCACAGGGATTCTGCTGCGATAGGGCAGCATGTGTTTTGCTACAAAAAAGAGTTACTGCAGTGTCCAGGGGACTAATGGAAGAGTAAGGTGCTTCTTATCCCAAGTACTGGTGGCAGAAACTAGCCCTCACAGAATCATACATGCAGACTTCTCAAACAACAATAATAATAAGCTACAATACAATAATACAAAATTAGTAACTACCATCGCAAATACATTTACATTTGGAATGTAAAATCAAAATCTCTCCCTTGCTTAACTGCCAGGTCCTGCGTTTGGGATTCTGCATTCAACCTGCAAGAAGAGCTGAGAACAGGACAAGAACCTAAAACAGTATGGACAGCAAAAGGAAACACCGTGCATTAAGGGACTGACCCAAAGTCCATGCAAGTCAACCAGAAGACTCCCAGTGATTTCCCTGGGCTTTGGATCAGCCACCAAAGTCTTGTGGTGTTTTCTTCTTTTCTGAGCACTGAGCAAAGCCTTTAGCTTTTGGTGAGGGAGTGCATTTCAGACCTTTGACCAGTGCTGAAAGATTCCCATTGACTTCAGTGGAAGCTGGATTGGGCCTTTATGCTCATGCATCTCACTGGCTCCTGGAGAAAAACTTGGCACCAGAATTCTGATGCAAAATAAGGACCTTGCACTCAGAGACCATTCAGTGGGATACATGGGACTGTGGGGTTTTAAGCCCCTCTCTATGAAAGAAAAAAGGCTGCCCTAGTGAAGGCCAATGAAGGGATAGCTCAGTAGTTTGAGCATTGGCCTGCTAAACCCAGGGTTGTGAGTTCAATCCTTGAGAGGGCCATTTAGGGATCTGGGGCAAAAATTGGGGGTTGGTCCTGCTTTGAGCAGGGGGTTGGACTAGATGACCTCCTGAGGTCCCTTCCAACCCTGATATTCTATGATTCCAAACTGCACAAGTAAATAATCGCCTAGTAGAGAAGAAACGAGTAGCCAAATCCTGAAGGACTTCATTGGAATAGTGGCACTTCCGTCTATACCACACTGTCATAGTATGGGGTAAAATCCTTCTACTACAACCACACAGTAGATGGATCTACGCTGCAAAAAACTAACATTGAGCTAGATTCTGACATATCTACTCATATTGAATTGCACCTTGCTCAGTGAAATCACTGGGAGCACTCATAGAATAAGGGACTATTCCACTCCTACTGGGTGAGAGTGAAGTCTGGCCCACTGAATCAGCAGAAACCCACGAGTAGAATACCAACAGAACACATCAGTGAGACTGACCCCAGAGCAATGCATCAGACAGAATGAGGTCCAAAGTTCTGAGAAACAGGGTCTGTGCCTTTAAGCCCACTCCCCCACAGTCATCCCGTTACAAGGGAAAAGACAATTACAGATAACGTTTTCTCTTTTATTCAGGCATGAAGAGACATACATTGATCCAACGGTTTGACCAAATGTATTTTAATGGGAGATTAAACCTGGCAACAGCATTCAGATAAAGCCTGTTTTTTTTTTCCTTTTGTTTTCCTCCCACAGAGACCAGGAGGACTCAGCTGCCACCCAATGGAATAACAAAGCTCCTATCCTCAAAGTGGTGTGAAATTGTTTATCCCTGTAAGTCAGCAGCACAGTAAAGAAGTAATTTCACAAGCAGCTGACATGTTAATAATGACTGTGGAGAATTAACTAGCTGGGAGGGAGGCTATCTCACTCAACACCACGATTTCCAACACGAGCGTGATTGAAATGGCAGGAGAGCCATGTGCCATGACCCTTGGAGGCCTTTCCATCCGCACTGCAGAGAAAGGATTTGGATCTCCTCGCTTCAGACCCCAATGATAAATGACAGCATAGGACAGGCGTTCAACATCCAAAGAGGGGGAATCAATGGGCACTCACACCTTGACGCACATATAAATATTTAGTTACTTTTTAGGGTGTGGGGGAAGAAAGAAGAAATCACTGCACGTACCTAGCAAACGGAGCAGCAGGAAAAGCACACCCAAAGCATAAGACTTAAGTTCAGGGCTCACTGTTCTGTACAGAGGAGAAAGGGAGAGAGGAAAATTGATTGTTACCATACTGCTTTCATTAACAAACCCCGTCGCTGTGCTTTGCTGTCAATCAGGACGCCACTGTCACCTCTTCAGAAAATCATTAACAGGCTTCTTCTCTTTTTCTTCCCCCTTGGTCCATCTGCCTGAAGCCTGAAAAATAACTGCAACTGCAGCCGCATGATGGGTTCTGGAATTTAGCTGCGTTGTTAATAATGGGAACTAATCTTGTCATTGGAAGGGAAAATAATGCAAATCCATCCCAGTAAATTATCATTGATAGAATCCCTGTATTATCTTTCAGGCCCCGGCTGCTTTGAATCAGCAGGTTATAAACCAACAAAATCCTTTTTATTATAACTTAATTGTGTGTGAGATGGGGTGGAGGGAATGTGAGTGAAATAGCAGGGAGGACAAATGACCAACTTGTCATTCCCAGGTCCAGCTATTAAATCAGCCAGATCAGCAAAGGTTGATACGCCGACCTGCCCATACAGGGTGATGTTTGTGAAAGTGAGATTAGTTTCTGATTAGTTTTAAATTGGGAAGATAATAGGCCAGGCTAATCGTGGCCCTTCACTTTGAATGTAACCCACTCTATCTGGCTGGCATTAATCTCTGAAGACACCTTAAGAACAAGCATTAACTTCCCATTCACATAATTCATATGATGCTATAGGCTAAAGTCATGCCACTGGTATAAACCCACTGAAGTCATTGGAATTTTACCAGGGATTAATCTGATCATGAACGTGCATTCTCTTATTCAGCACTTTATGTTCCACAGAGCATAATGGTTCAGGGAAGCAAGGCAATGAACCCCTGATGAAAAGGTCTGTGTTGAAAGGAAACTTAAAAGTGTCCGGTCCCTGCTTCTATTAATCCCTTGCATGGTCTCGTTAGGTGTTGTTAGTGACACCTGTGCTTGAAACGGGTGCCTGCCGTACATGTGCAATGGAGGGGAATAGTGTTTTGAAAGACAACCAGTCTTGATTTAAAGACTTCAAGTGATGAAAAATCTACCTCAACACTTGCAAAGGCATTTCAGTGGTTAATGGCCTGGCTCAAAGGAGGTCCTGTGAAAGGGAGGGAAAAAGTGAAAAATAGACGGTTACCAAACTTAACCTCAGTCAGGTTTCTTACATAGGTTGTTGTGTTTTGTTTTGTTGGGGTTGTTTTAGAAGTGGCTAAAGTTTTTCAGTTGAAACTTTTAAAATAAAAAATGGCTTTTTAAATTTTTGTTTAAAATTTTCAATTTTTTCAGTTAAAAAAATGAAAAATTGTCAGTTTTCGACTTTTCATTGAAAAATTTGAAGAGGGATTTTTTTTTTATTTTTCTGTGTGAAACATACTTATCAACCAGCATTAATGTTCTTCCTTTTCTTCCATCTGTTTTTGTATATTTAGAATCTTATCTAACTTCCACTGAAGTTAGTGTGAATTTTTCCATTGAATCTAATAGGTACGGGATTGAGTGTAAACTCTTCAGGGTGCCACCTGTCTTAATTTATGTCTGTGTAGCACTTACCACACCTTTGGGTGATGGATAAATAACAACAATAATAAAACCAGAGAGTCCCGAAAACGTCCTTTATATCTCTGATCACAGCACTGTTAGGACATCCCGGAATGACATGAAGTTATCTCCCATAGTCTCCTTAGTTATCTGGTTCCAGGCTGTGTTGAAAACTTCAGTGCCTGAGATTACAGTATGGACATTTAAACCAGACTTCAAGGTTGTGCAAAGAGCCAGATGTCCTGGTGAATCCTCTGAATATGTCCCTGCTGGCTGGACCAGGAGAAGACACTTCCCTGCTCAGCTGCATTCGGCACAATTGCAACCGGGTCAGCCAGGGATGGGCTTCACTTTGGCTGATCTGGGAGAACTGGGAGTTCTAATTCAAACTCATCACTAGTAACACCTGGGACCCACATACCAAGTGACATTGGTTTGTGGAACCAGTTGATTCAAACCTGTGGAGTGTCCAGAACACCAGGTGATTCTTGGCCCGTCACCGTCTCTTCTTCTGTGCATTTATGATAGATATTGGTGGTTCTGGCAGGAATATAGTTAAGATATGACTTTCAGGGCTGTGAATTGTCAATTTCAAAGGGTTGTGAAGTGAAGTTTTTGAACCTTTCCACTTTTCTCTTGTGTTCTCTTTCCCACCTGGACATTGGCTTGTTGTATTTGAAGATGCACATTAAGAAGACTCTGTTCAGGATCCTACGAGTGCTGATAATTTCTCTCAACAAAGAACCCTTCAAGCCTCAAATTACCTTTGCCACAATATTGATCACTGAAAATTTGATTTCCGTTTAGCTACTACAGATGCCAGGAAAGAAATGAACTAGTAGGTGGAATATCTCATTCTATTCTCTGCGGGGAGACCTGCCCTCACATAAGCGATCTGCCTGAGATCCACTCAAAAGTGTTTCTAACACAGACCCTATTGATTGAACTTTACTGGAATTTTCCAGACCGCAGAATGGATCTGCTTATTGCCCCTCAGATTAGAATAGGCTGTAAGCAATGGCATGGATGGATGCAGTGATTCTGAATAAAGGCGAAGTTAGGTAGACACATGCATCTCAGGGGGCAGACAGTTGTGTGTGTGTGGAAATAGCACACAGTAATTCAGCTGGAGATGATGCTTTTGTCTTTGTATGCACGTTGGGCCAAATCCAGAGAGATACTGAGCATCTCTAATTCCCACTGATGTCAGCATTTGGGCCAGCATGAGAGTTTTCGCTTCTGGTGATGCGTGCATGTTGTCCCACACTAGCTCATAAATTCATCCCTAGGCCTTTTTGGGTTTCTTTTTGCAGCCTCCTAGGATCTCTAGGCTATATCTAAAAAAGCCTCATGAAACCACTGCTTGCAGGTGTCATGCAGCTGCGATCCTGCCACCTGACTGATTTTAGCTTTAACACATTTATTCCCTGCAACAGAAGCAGAACTCTCCTAATTTCCTTTCCATTTCATGGTTTCTAGACAGATGGGGAGAACAAGGTCTGCCCTTTTCCTTTGCAGCATACCTGCATGGACCCCTCCTTACCAGATTCACAGCCCTCCTTGCCCCTTGAGCTGCACAGAATCAATTCCCTTATTCTTTCCTCAGGTCAGTATTAGACACTGAAGTAAGTGGAGCTACCCCAGCAATGAATGTGGTCATGCTGAACCTAACAGAGACCTGCAGAGACAAAGTGATTGACGTGTGCACAGCATCCAGCAGCTGCCACTGTGCTCGGGATGCGGAGATCTTTTGAAACTCTGGCTGCTTCTTTCAGATGCCTAAATGGGAGATGAGCATTGTGACGTTGCACTCTATATGATTTTATGAAAATGTGCTAATGAGTGTGAATATAATGTAACTGGAATATGCTTCAGGAAAAAGGTCTCTTGTAAGGTATCATTACAAAGCTTATAATCTACTGAGTGTGGTCATCCTATTTGTATGTATGTAACATTCTTGTATCTGAAACTAGAAATATGACATATAACTCTGAGGGCCTACTGTAATTATGCAAAGTGTGGGCTGTTAATGGTGGTTTGGAATCTTGATGGCACCCATTAACCAGGACAATTGACTGTGGATGGCTCTGTTTGCAGGCAAGCCTTCCTGTGAGTCAGGCTGGGAGGAATGAAGGCTTGGGTGTCTCACAGGACATGTGACCGTGTCACCTGGTACTGGAATCCATTTTAAACCTGGTGCTTTTCCATTTAGAAGGAGGGGTGGGAACACAGAGAGGGACAAAGGATTCCCGCCTTGTGCCAAAGCTATATAAGGGGGTGGAACAGAACAAAGGAGGCAGCAATCATGAGAAATCCCCTAGCTACCACCGGAGCTGAAAACAAGGGCTGTGCCAGGGGAAAGGATTGTGCCCAGACTAGGAAGGTGTCCAGTCTGTGATAGAAGCTTATTGAAACATCTGAGGGTGAGGTTTTATCTGCATTCAGTTTTCTTACTGTACTAGGCTTAGACTTGAGTGTTTTATTTTATTTTGCTTGGTAATTCACTTTGTTCTGTCTGTTATTACTTGGAACCACTTAAATCCTACTTTTTGTATTTAATAAAATCACTTTTTACTTATTAATTAACCTAGAGTAAGTATTAATACCTGAAGGGGCAAACAGCTGTGCATATCTCTCTATCAGTGGTATAGAGGGTGAACAATTTATGAGTTTACCCTGTATAAGCTTTATACAGGGTAAAATGGATTTATTTGGGGTTTGGACCCCATTGGGAGTTGGGTATCTGAGTGCTGGAGACAGGACCACTTCTTAAGCTGTTTTCAGTAAACCCTGCAGCTTTTGGGGGATGTGGTTCAGACCTGGGTCTGTGTTTGTAGCAGGCTAGCATGTCTGGCTCAAACCAGGCAAGGCACTGAAGTCCTAAGCTGGCAGGGAAAATGGGCTCAGAGGTAGTCTAGGCACATCAGGTGGCAGTTCCCAAAAGGGTCTCTGTGACCCAACCCATTACAGCTGCTTGTTTGTAGTGCCTAAATGGTTTAGGCACTACATAATAAGGGGCCTGGTTTTCAGGGGGCCCGAGCCCCCATTGAAGCCAAAGGGAACTCTCAGGGTGAATTCAGTGCAGCTGAAAGTATAAGGTTGGGTAATTTTGTAGTGCCCTCCCACTCAAAGCAGGTCAAATCCTGAGATTTGCTGAGCGTCTGTGGCTCCTGTCAACTCCAATGGTAGTCAGAAACACTCAGCGCCGGGAGTCCATCCTCCCTACACACCCATGGCCTGTGGGCCACCACGGTCCCCCTCGATCTAGACCCAGGGGAGGAGCCTTTCAGTTTTCAATTAATCTGTGGCAGCCTGTTGAAAGAAGCGGTGGATTGAGAGTCAAGCAACTCATCAGATCCTCAGCATGGCTCTTACCTGATGAGTATGATAACTGACGGCGTCTGTGCCATGGCTCCAATCATGCTGCAAACACACATCACGCAGAGGAATGTCAAGAAGGCCTCTTGGCAACCAGGACTGGGGCATTTTCCATGCATTACTGTAGCGTTCTCGGCTGGGACCAAACTGAGGCATGAGCAGCCAGTGAGATTCTGGAAGGGAGCACAGGGCACGGAGGTGAAGGGAGAACAACGCCCACTTTCCAAAACAACAGGCACTTTACAAGGAGGGGTTTGCCAGCTGGCAAGTGTGCACCCTCCAGCGGTCAATTAATTAGCTGCTAATAAGTCACGTGCTGAGCTGGTTTGGAAAGGCTTTTCAAAAGAACTCCAGCTCCAATGCATTCTACTGGCAGGGTAGCTTCTCCTCCTTATTCTTGGCTTCCTGTCCTTTCGCATCCCAAACAAATGTGTCTGTAAGAAAATTACCACCAAATTGGACCCTTGTGAAAAGAAGAAAGGAAGGATCTGTGTACCTTCATCATGATAAAATATTGCCATATTAAAGTTACAACTACTTCCCAATATACCCCTGGCTGTGCATTTCAAGAAGGCACATTTCGCTGCTGCGGGTTCAACTGCCTCATTCTGGCGTCTTTAACGATGGCAGGGAGCATACCAGGATGTGTGTCTACTCTCACAGCGAGCTAGGTATCAAAGGGAAGGCGGCAGAGACACTAGTGATTATGGAACCAACCTCAAGGGTGTTACAGGGCTAACAGATGCCACTTAGTTTAGAAGGATTTGCACAGAACTGAAAGCTGCAGTCAGACAAGATAAAGTTTATCAATATGCGATCAGAAGGAGGAAAAAGCAACCCCATTCCCTTTGATCTTTCCTGCAAGCACAGGATGTCAAAAGAGGCTTTGTTTTCCAGTCACAGATGTTTTTGCGCTCACCCCTCCCGGAATTTCTGATGGCGGGGATGTCAGCACAATTAAGGCACAGAATAATAGCCAGGAATCCCTTAATGAATACAGAGCAAAAACTATCATAAATGATTCATTGCTTGTCTGTCTTTGCAAGGCTGCTAGGCTTGCAGGTCACATGCGTGTAAGAAAAAGAAGCACTAAAATAAAATAAAACCAAACCTCCAGTATTCAAATAGAAATTCCTCTGCTTTTATGCTGGGGTTTCTTTAGGCTCCACACTACCACATGTTCTAGTTCAGTGCCTCCACATATGCACGGATCCGTGGGGACCCCAGTCTATTCTTTCTGACATTGATCTCTTTTTCTGCATAGGAGTCGAAAGCATTGCCTTCTAAAACAACTGCATGGAGTGCGGCAGAGCTCGGTGAACGTTAATGATATGACTGCAGGTGACTATACGGCTGGCAGGCACTAATGAATGTAAAGAGGCCCTCTCCCAGCAGTGACATGGCCACCTGAAGGCTCGTCTAGACAAGGGCAAATAACACTAGTGTAACTATATTGGTGTACTTACACCAATGCAAAGTCTCTAATGCAGATGAGCTGCACTGGTGTGACTTGTCCTGGCAACTTAACAGGGTAAACCTCAGCCATGCAAGCCCTGCATAGTGCATCTCCACGGGGGGTTGCACCAACATGCTCACATTGCAGTAACTATCCTGGTGCAAAAATCCCAGCATAGACAGGGACTAAGTTAACTTTGCTAGCCCATCTGTTATGGGGATGGCTGACTGTTCAGGAAGCCAAGTGGGTCACATCCCTGTGCACTGACCTGGCTGATCATTCCACATGACTTATATACAGTTGGAAGGAGAGACCCATCTCTTCTGTGCAGCGGGCCCAATTCTGCTCTTATGTACGTGAATCCAAATCTGATGTAACTCTATTGAAGTCAACGTAATGAAACTAGAATAAAGCTAGCATGAGGTCAGAATCCAGTCTCCCTACATTTATGGTAAGTAAAGGGCTAGACTGTGCTTTGTTACTTTAGAGAGAGTGACAAGGGACTGCATAGGAACTGGAATCTGATTTGGCCAGGAATCCTCCTGGATGCTGGCAATTCAGATCAACACAGCAGTTGCACCATCCGTAAGAAGCTCATGGCATATCCCCCAGTCCCTGTGTGTGTAGCTCCGTTGCCTGATCCTTCTCCCCTCTGCCCCGTTTCAATCACCGTGCACCAAAGCTGTTATCCCAAAGTACTTTAATGTAAACAGAACTGAATGCAACAATTTTTTTGGTGCTCTTCTGAGTTCTTCCCTCGGAGACCTTTGATCCTTTGTTACCGACACTGTAACATGTGCTATAGTAACACACCGACATCGAACACTGACTTTCATCCTCTTCTATGAAGAGGCAATATTTTGCTGCACGTGCCAAATTGCTATTGATTTTCCTGAACTACTCTGCAATCCCATCACCATTCTGTTGTAAATGGAACTTTTGTCTTTCTGCAGCTCAACAGCTCATGCACCAGGAACGAGATTTTTGAACGTGCACGTGTACAAAATTTGCACACCCAGGGGCCTCAATTTCTTGTGGAAATTATGTGTGCAAATGACCCATGTGTTGTGGTTTTAAAAACCTGGCTCTGATTGGTTAGGAACAGGCTGGCATGTTGATGTGAATCCCTAAGACTTCAGTGCTACAACATTAGATTTGGAATGCATATTCCCCCAGCCAAAGGGGAAATAGAAAAACAACACCATGAAACAAAAAAAGATATATGGACAATGGCTTAACTCACAAGGGTCACTGAGAGTAGAGGACTGGTTAGAAAAAGAATTCGCTGAAATAAAAGCGCCACCCCTACGCCCCTTTAGCACTAATAAACCCAAAGCCTCTCTGCAGACCAGTTTCATCACAAAGAACAATGGCATTCATACGAGAAAGGTAAACTAACTCAGTAGACTACAAAATACCATTAGAGACCATTCACAGAAAGGGAAAGCAGAGATACATGACTGGACACATACAGTGCAGTAAAGTTAAATAAAACATTCAGAGAATTTTATGCCCCAGTAAAAAGCAACTCTTGGCTCATCACACATATATAATAGCCACAAAACCCTCTAGACAGGTCATTTTCTGGATTATGGGCTTAAAGCAATTTGGCGTTGCTTCAGGGCCATTACATGGCCAAACTGGTCCATAATTCTTGATAATGCCCTTTCCAGAGGATGCTGTTGCTTCATTAATTCATGTCCAAAACCACTACTTTGAAAAAGCCAAGATGATGGTGCCAATGAAGAGGTTAAACTGGAGAGAGCAAGTGAGAAAGAGGAAAGGGAGGAAGAGAGAGGGAGACTTTTGCTGGATGGGTTTATGCTTATAGAAGGTTAGCTCTGATAGTTACATAGCAGAGAGACTTGAAACAATTCCTGGAGAGAGAGTCTGAATTTTCTTTACTATGCTCATTTCTAAGGAGCAATTGGTTTGCTTTGAGCAATACAGTGTAAATGCAACTTTTACACACTGCCACTAGCTAGCATTATTTTTCTCCTTGCCAATGAATGATTTTGGCACAGCAGGTGGATGCTTCTTTCCTACTGACACTTTGCTCCGTGCCAAAAGTTTTGCTGTCTAAACAATCACATTGAAGTGAAGTGCTAGTTGTAAGGCAAATGGCAGAGGAAACGCATGAGATTAACATGTACAGCTTCTGCAGCTTTGCATCCAATGATCCCAGATAAAATTATTTTCTTAGCTATAACATGAAGATCCAGGAGTTGGCATCATGCTATCTCCTTTGCGGCTAAACACTTCGGTAGCTCAGAAGCCATTTCACTCATCTCAGTAGAATGCAAACAAGTCAGGTGCTTGAGTGGGAAGCCAGAAGTTAGGGTAGTAAAGAAGAAGTCCAAATATGCACCCACTTGTTGTCCCCCTCCCCGCCGCATACTTGTCCTTGTACAGTTTACTTGCAATGCCCTGAGGTAGAGGTTGCAGTTTACCCACAGAGAGGTGAACCCTTACTGAATGAGTCTGACTTGGGAAAGGATGGTGTAAAAGCAAAGTGAGGACCTGAGGATGTGTCTGGAGATGAACACAGACAGAGAAGGGTCACCTTCAGCTCCCAGAATTCTGCTTGTCTGGGCCAGAGGGGCACTTAGAGACATCTAGCAATGCAGTAACTAGAGGGCTAAATGTAGGGCCATCCAAATTCACTTGTCACAGATGCCACTCCCTCTGGCAAGTAAAAATTGCCAATGTAGCACCTGCCTACTGACACTCTCTGACTCTGTAAAGATGGCCATGAAGTCAAAGTGCCAATGCCGCGGCTCCACGGAGCAAGGGAGCTAATGGAGACAAGATTTCTGTTCAGCTGCTGCGGTGATTCTTCACTTGTTAGTCGGGAGCTTTTCTCTCAGCTTCCTGGCACCTCCAGGTCCATTAGACCCTTCAGGGAAGGAACCAAGGCTTTGCTACACACCTCACCATTTGGGTTTGATATCTCCCCTCTCTCTTTTCCTAAAGCACCAGCCTGCTCTTTGGAGTGGCCTGCCCCTCCCGCGCACCCGCCAGCAGCACAGCGGATACGTCTCTGGACTCTCCCATCTGTGCTTTTGGCACAATGGAGAAGGGGAGAATTTTCCCTGAGAAGTGGGGATTTACGCTTCCTGCTGGAGTGTTTTAAGACCAATCCGAACTGTCCACACATTACAGAATGGAAAGGAGAGGCTCAAGATATCGTAAGAGATTCCTTATCTTAACAGGTATCTTAGGAGATTCTGAGACCCCAAATAGCAGGTCTCCTTCACACAGAGAGGGTTTGCATTTTCTAAATGAAATAAACCCTTACGTTTTGGGGATACAGAATACCCATGGCTATTAATTTCAGGGGGTTGCTGGAGGCCCCGTTCTTCATTTGCTCCCCTGCTCTTGGTGTTGACTCAGAGAGGAGAGGAGGACAGGAAGTGAATGAAAGAGGAGAGGAAACAGAAGAAATGGAGGGAAGGAGCGAGAAGAGGAAATGGGGAAGGCAGCACCAGGGGACAGCAGGAGGGAGGGGAGGAACAAGGGAAGGAGAAATGGGAGTGAGCAGAAACAAGAAACGAGATGTCTGTATGACCTGACGGTAACAGAACCCAGTAGTCCCCATGATGGGACTAGACTCTGCCAGAGGCTGGTTGGTCGGCCTTCAAGTTGTGCTCTCTCTATTTTGGTGTCTGACTGATTTGCATTTGCAGTAGGGAGCTGTGGGTCAGCTGATTTTCATCACATTTGAGAGGCTAGAAGCCAGATGGCAGAGGTGGCAAGTGCAGACCGTCCCGTAGCTCTGCCTGTGGTCTCCCTTTGAGTGATTCTGCCCATGACGTGGCTTCCCACAGAGCCTCTGGGCTAAGAGGAGACAAGCACCACATGTGCACCCAAGAGCACAGAGTCCCGTGGATGGTGGAGAGGAGAAGGGAGCTCTCTCCTCACTTAGAGACGATCCCATTGGACCACAGCTAGAGCTAACAGGACATTTGCATGAGAGAATAAAAAATGAGGTACTCAGTTTCTCTCACCCTTAGGTGCGAAGACTCAGCGACGCCCTTCACAGTCAACCCTCACCCTACCTATCATGTCTCATTCATGACTGAGCTGTCAATGCTCACCTCTGATTGGCCCTGATACCAGCCTCCATTGCTCACTTGTTACATTTTCAAAAAAGCACCTTTGCGTTTTCTCCCATGCTGCCCCCTAAGCTTGGGAGGTGCAAAAACTAACTCATGATCCTCCTTCAGAGTCCTCCTCAACTCTCCTTTGACGTGACACCTACCAAATACTTGACAATGGTCATGGCTGTTGGTATGCATAGACCACTGCCGATCACTGACCAACGTTGTTTCATTTTCCTTGTGCTTCCCCATCTGTCTGTATCCATCTGTTGTCTCTTGTCTTAAACTTAGATTGCAAGTTCCTTGGGGCAGAGACTATCTTTTTGTTCTGTGTTTGTACAGCACCTAGCGCAATGGGTGCCTGATCCATTGCTGGGGCTCCAAGGTACTATGGTAATCCACATAATAATAATAATAATAAGTCGTCAATCTCTGGGGCCTTCAGCCATCCTCATTTGTAAATGAATGACTCTTACTGTATATACACTAACCTCACAACCACACACGGATAGGAGATGTTGAGTAAATCACGACAATTACCGTGCTCCTGCAGCCCGCGAAGCAGGCGGACAAGTAGGTGATCCCATCTGCCCCACAAACTGGAGTGAAGGAATCGGTTTGGCATTCACAGTTGTTATTGCAGGGGGAATATGGGTCCAAGGGCAAGGTCGGATATGAGCTGCAAAAGAATCAGAATCAGAAATGGATGCACAGTGCAATAACGCCAGCTGGCCTTTCTGAGAAGCGTCACAAGAAGGGGGCTTAGACAACCACTGCAAACAAAGGGAGAGAAGGGTGGGTGGGGTGTTTGGGTGCCAGCAGAAGGGACCTGAGGCCATATGCTCCTTCTGTGACAGAAACACATTGAGGTTCATTATTTCCGGCTCCCACCATCTCCCCAGGGTGGCTCAGGATGGTGCTGGAAAAATATAATGTGAAGTTGTGTGGGCGTTGTCTCAGCCCTGGGATCAGACCTCCAGGACAGGAGGGGTTGTATTTACCTAGCACAACAACAGCAAGCTGAAGATGTGCTGACGTTTTCCTCCTCAAAGAGCCACTGTCCCATGCTGAGAAACTTTGGAAATACAGAATCATTCTATCTGTGTTAGGACCCAGCTCTGCGGGGCCTCCTGAGTCCTAATACCTTGCCTCAAAATGGGTCTCACCTGCAGCCAAGCAGCAAGTGGGAAAGCGCCTTTTGCTCATCATACAGGCCCCAAACGTCCAAAACTGTGTGCCTAGAATTTGACTCCTAAATCCCCTTTAGGCCACCTCAGTAAAAGCACCCACAATTTCCCTAGATTTCAGTGGGATAGGTAGGTGCTTAGCACTTGCAAAGATCAGGCTGGAGTGGCTCCACTTATTTCAGTGCTTTCATTCTGTGTTTACACCAGCCTACTTGAGAGCAGAATCTGGCCTCATGTTTCGAGCCACTTGGGTCAGTTTCAGTTAAGCTCAGTGGAATTCGGCTCTCAAACTTGTTATTGTTCCGACTCCCCCCAAGACACTTCTATAGAATAGGCCTAATACAGCCACAGTGGAAGTGGGTGCCACTCCACTGACTTCAATGGAGTCCTCCCCACTTGTGCCAGGAATGCATTTACTGTAACACTATTACTCTACACTGTTACTTACTCCTAGAGAGACAAGGTGGGTGAGGTAATATCAATAAACAGATGTTGGTGCAGTAAAAGATATTACCTCACGCCACAGACGCCAACTCTGTGGGTGCTCCAGGGCTGGTGCTGAGCACCCACCGGTGGCCCCACTGATCAGCCCCCCCGCGCCTCCTGCCCGCCTCAATCAGCTGTTCAGGGGGAGGTGCGAGGGTGGGGCATGCTCGGGGAGGGAGCAGAATGGGGCAGGAAGAGGTGGAGCAGAGCGGCAGAGCGGGGGTGGGAGTTTGGGGGAAGAGGTGGAGTGGGGGCGGGGCCTGGGATGGAGCAGGGGTCAAGCATCCCCGGGGAAATGAGAAAGTTGGCCTGTGCCTCACCCACTTTGTCTCTCCAACATCCTGGGACTAACAGCTACATCAGCACTTCATACAACTTAATCCTAGAATCACTCAAATATCAGTGATGTAGGTGGTATAAAACCCTAGAAAAATAGAGAAACAGCACTGAAAAGAGCAGGTTAGTTTAGCTAACACCGCTGTGCTATACTTCCTGGGTGGTATCATAGGGTTGGAGGTGGGAGATGGAGCTGAAATTCTCTCTGTACTCACTTGTTTCCATAGGGAACAGTAACCCCAGCTACGGGCCCCGTGTCACAGCCCAGGAATAGGAAAGAGACATAGCAAGCTGTGGACACTAGGTTAACGAGCATGGCCATCCTGATGGCTCCTAGAGCAGACAGGCTGAGCTTCTTCACCAGGAGACCGCCCAGGAATATGCCCAGACATGCACATGGGATCGCTGTCATCCCTGCAAGAAGGAAGAAGAGTCAGGAAGATGCACAAGGAGAAAGCAGGAGCTGAAAAAATACACTGCATGTTGAAGCATTTTATTTTCCAGTGACTAGATCAGTGCACTAGTGATGGGGGAAGCGCTAAAGGCTCAGAGTACCCACTAGATGCTTATCCATTCATGTGGGTTCTCCTTAGGAGTGACTATGTGAGACTTCAGGCCCCAGAAGCTGTTAGCACTCACCTGTAGCAGAGTTACATCGTCCCTGGGATGACGGAAACGTCACCACTCTCTGCCTCCCTGTTGCCCCAGCCAGCAAAGAACTGGTCCTCCACAGTGCTTTGTCCAGGCAGTGGAGTCTCCACTGCTTTTCCCAAGGGAAACTAATCCACAGTCTAATAGATCTTGTGCAAGATTTCCAAAATTGACCAGTGATTGTGGTTGCCCAACATGAGACACTTTCAAGGGGCTTGATCTTCAGGGGAGAGGTGTTCAGTGCTGTCTGAAAATCAGGCCTCTTTATGAAGTCTCAAGTTTGGTACTCAAAATCACTAGTCACTTCTGAAAATTCAGCCTCCCACTTCGGGAAAGTTCTCACAATATTCAGCCTCTTTTTGCTCACTTTCGCCCCATCGCTGCAGGTCATACCCAAGCCCATTCTGCAAAAAGGTCTCTGGATTCTGGGGCAGGTGGGAAATTCTGCAGCAATTTCATTTAAATTAAAAAAAAATGGAGGTTTTCAATTAGTTCAGCAGAAAAATGCATAACAATCAGGACAGCAGCCTGTGTGCTATTCCTTTTGATATTAAACCAGTCTCATTGTATGCTGTCAGTGTTTGATAGGTCCATGCCAGGGGCCCATGTGGATGGTGGTGATTGCAGGTTATTCAGAATCAACACCTAGATGCCTTAACTGGGCGCTGGGGAAAGGATGCCTGTCACAAACAGAGCACTAGAACTTTGTGGGGAACAAGTGTCAGGAGCAGATGAATAAAGAGCCTGTGTTCGTATCCGTGTCCTTTCATGTAAAGGAGGGAAGAGGAGAAGCACAGAGAGTACAGGGGCAGCAGCAGGATGGCTCCGAAAGAAAATGTTGGAGTGGTGACCAGGATGCATCAGATGGGCTAGCAGAACAACTGCTTGTGGCTCTTTTGTTGGCTGTGTTTCCAATTTGACGCAGGCCAAATTGCAGGGGAGATGGGAGCTCAGCTGGGGAACTGGGCTCTCCACCTCAAACTGAGAACAGAGGGCAACGCTAGACAGCGTGAATCATCAGGCAGGCAGTTATGGGGCAGCACTCAGTCAGACAAGGAGTTCTGCCCCTGCGTTCCCAGGTTTCCCGCATAGCATCGTGGGCAGCAGGCTGGCATCTCTGCTTTAGGTGAGGAGCTCTAAAGGCTATTTATGCCCTTGCTGCAAGAATGAAGAATATGATTTCTCACAGAAACAACTGATTCTATATAAAACAATTTATGTGAGCCCTCGGGGAGGGAGCATAGTTTAGTGCATCGAGCATGGGTCTGGAAAGGATGACTCCTGGGTTCTGCTCTTGCCTCTGTTGCTGACTGACTCTGTGATCTCAGCCACTTCACGAAGAACCAAATTTTCTAATTGAGGGTGACCCATTTTTGGGGTGCCAAATTTTAAGACAGAGCAGGTCTGATTTTCAAAAGTGCTGAGCACCTCCCTCAGTTCCCAATGGATTCAAACTGCACTTGTGGGAGCTCAGAACCTCTGAAAACAAGGCCCTTGGTGTCTAAAATTGGGTTCCTAAAAATTGAGGCACCCCGGTTTTATTTATTTTTATTAATATTGCGCCTTAGCCATAGGCCACTGCTCATAATACTATAAAGACAAATTGTAAATTCACAGCTCCAAAAAACAGATACAAATTTTAAAAACTGATACCTTTTCACATCACCACTCCTTAAAATATGTAGGAAAATAAGAAAAAATATTAGGAGTATATTATTTCACTTAAGTCAAAATAGCCTCCCTTTCACATATTTTTCTTATTTTTGTGGCTGAACAGGCACCTATGACAACAGCCTGTGCAAATGAAACATTTGCACTATGTAGCAAGGATCCTAATTTCTGAGCTGGTGTGGCAAAAGGCCTCTGAGCCAGGAATGGAGATAGCCGTTTAGTTCTCAGGTGGCAGTACAGGTCAGAAGGCATATAAATAGTGTGGCCAGTCTTCAACCTGGCTAGACCAGCGTGGACAAAGATGATTACGGCTTTCAGGACATAACTGCATAGTTTGGAAAGAGTAGGAGACCTATACTGGTCCTTCCAGGGGTCGGCACCATCATGTTGGACGACTGACTCTTGACAAAATTACCGTACTTAGTGACAGACATTGGTGGGGGGAGGGGTGTTATGTCATTCAGTCATACAATTTTTCAATTGTTCAAACTTCTTATTCGGCATTTTTTTTATATTCGCTTCTAAGGATAGCAAGTTTCTTACTAGAATCTGGGGAACCATTATTTCTAGCAGCTCTTGCCATGATCTGAAGCTGTTTCTTCTGGCTGGAGCAATCTGAATCATACCAGATGCTTTTACCTTTTAAAGGTAAACATGACCCTTGGTGGTGGTTAGGTCATCCTGTAATTTTTCAACAATCTTAATAAATGTTACATGGACTTGTGCTGAATCGCTAAAGTGAAAAAGCTGGTTCTTTAAAACTAACAAATCACTGGATGGGAGTTTCTTTCTGATTTAACTAATGGAGTCAACTTAATTTGCCTTGAGGTTAGAGCTTCAGAATTAGGAGTAATACCCAACCTGCCAGAATTCATCTGGGAAAAAGTGGCTGGAAGTCAGAAATTCACTTGCAGGGGTTGGTGACAGCTGTCCAGTTTAAAAGCCACTAAATAGTTAGAGAAACAAGACCAGTGTAAAATCAGAACTGTGATATAATCTGTCGCACTACTTTCTCTAGAAGAGGTGACTGTAAAATGACTCTGCAAATGATCACCATCTCTACCACTCTACATCTAAAATTACAGAAAGTTTATGACCCGAAGAATTTCTTACTGGGGGAAATGGAGGCAATACCCCTTTACTGAGTTACAGGAAACCTTTAACATTTTCTTATCCTTCGCACCCAATCAGGTGTTTAAAGCTCCCAAGAGTACAAAATTTGCTATTGGAACCTTTTCCATAAACCGGTCAATATCCATCAAGCTCTGTCCATAAAGATTCATTACACAAAGGAGAGCCCAAAGGAGGCAAATAAACATTCAGAGCTAACAAAATAGATTTAGCTGAGAAACTAATATGATAGTCCTGGAAATAAGAGTTATCGAAGACATTAACATGCTAGTTATGACTCTTAATTTGGTAGAATGAAAAGGGCCAGTCCACATGCCAGTCTAACCATTCTTAACGTCCCTTCTCAGAAGGATTCAAAGCCCAATAAATAAAAGGACTCCTCGTTCGTAAACCAGGTTTCCTGGAGGAAAACTAAATTAAATTGAGACAAATAATTCCTAAAATCCAATTCCTGGGATTTACTTTTGAGGCCTGTAATATTCTATGAGGCAATTTTGCTAGAAATGTTACAAGAATCCTGATCAAGCCTACTTCATCAATCCACCTCCCTTTTAAAGTCTTCAACTGAGAAACTATCATGAACAATAACACCATTAGCTTTTGTAGCTAGGGCCAATTCTCCTAGAATTATCATCTTCAGCCTTCTGAATGTGATCTTGGTCAATTCACCGATGGCCACATTTTCTAATTTGGGGCAAATCATTTTTGGTATGCAAGTGTTTAGACAGCTCGGGCTTGATTTTCAGAAGTGCTGAGCACCCCCCATAATCAGTGAGTTCAACTACAGTTGTGAGAGCTCAGAACATCTGAAAATAGGCCCTTGGTGTCTAAATTTGGGTTCCTAAAAGCCAAGGAACCCCAAAATGAGAGGATTTATATACACATACACACACACATCTCACCTCTCCAGGACCCATTTTCTACTCTGCAAAATGGGGATTCTAACACACTCTGTCTCTCTTTCTGTATACCCACTCATTTCACAAAGAGCTCTGAGATCCTCGGGTGAAAGATCCGCAGGAGGAAGGCCAACATATTAGAGACAGCAGAGGGATTGCGTGGCCGGTTAATGTAGTTACTTACCCAAGAGCTGATTGGCTGATGAGGTGGTAAGGTTGAACTGCTGTTCCAGGTACTTCCCCAGGAAGGCTGCAAAGCCAGCGACCACAGCAATCTCCATGCAGGCAGCAAGGATGATGCAGGTGAAGACAGGATTGGCCAGCAAGTGCTTTGTTACTTTAGGTATCACTGCAACAGAGGAGACAGAAGACATGGTTTCATTAAGGTTCTTCCCATATACTGAAGAAAGGGATCTGGGAGTGATAGTAGATCACACACTAAATACGAGTCAGCAGTGTAACACTATTGCAAAAAAAAAAAAAAAAAAGAAGAAGCAAACATAACTGTGGATGTAATAACAGGAATGTTGTAAGCAAGACACAAGAAGTAATTCTTTCACTCTTCTCAGCACTGATTAGGCCTCAACTGGAGCGTTGTGTCCAGTTCTGGGCACCACATTTGGCAAAAGAAGTGGACAAAATGGACAAAGTCCAGTAGAGAGCAACAAAAATGATTACCAGGAAACATGACCTACCAGGAAAGATTGGAAAAAATGGGTTTGTTTAGTCTGGAGAAGAAAAGACTGAGAGGGGACATGGTAACAGTGTTCAAGTACGTAAAAGTTGTTACAAAGAGGAGGGGGATAAATTGTTTTCCTTAGCCACTGAGAACAAGACAAGGAGCCATGAGCTTAAATTGCAGTAAGAGATTCAGGTTAGACATTGGGAAAATCTTCCTAACTGTCAGGGTGGTTAAGCACTGGAAGAAATTATCTGGGGAGATTATGGAATCCCCATCATTGATGGTTTTTAAGAGTAGGTTAGACAAACACCTGTCAGGGATGCTCTAGATAATACATAGTTGATGACCTAACAAGGTCCATTCCAGTCCTACGTTTCTATAATTCTTTCATTTCTTCTGTGGGGAAAAAATACTAAGAGCGCCCTCTGATTCCTGGTTTCCTTCTCTATACCTCCATCTGCCTTCTTCCTTGTCCTTCATTATTCCACCCAGTTCCTGCATTAGCCAGTGTGTGTCACGGGTACTCAGGTCAATATTACACCTTCAACTTCTTTTCTTCCTTTTTTATTTATTTTGCAAACTTCAGTCATAAGCAGAGGTAGATTTTAGCTGCTTTCACTTTTTTCTGTAGTATGAAGAAGCTCTTTCTCTGTCTCTCATACACACACACAGACAGAGCAGAGACTTGACAGCTGTGATGGACTGGGCTCCACCCTCCCAGACACACCCAGTGGTGAGCTGGAGCCGATTCGCACCGGTTTGCTAGAACCGGTTGTTAAATTTAAATTTAGAAGCCCTTTTAGAACTGGTTGTTCTGCGAGGGACAACTGGTTCTAAAAGGGCTTCTAAATTTAACCAGCCAAAAGTGGCACCTTAAGGCGCTGACTCCATGGATGCTCCAGCCCTGGGTAGATTTGGTGGGTACAGAGCACTCACCGGCAGCTCCCTGCCCCGCCCCCGCCCCCAGCTCACCTCTGCTCCGCCTCTGCCTCCTCCCCTGAACGCGCCGCCCCGCTCTGCTTCCCCTCACCGCCCCCCCCGGCTTCCCGCGAATCAGCTGTTCGCACGGGAAGCTGGGGCGGGCTGAGAAGCAGGTGGCGGCTTCCCGCTCAGGCCCAGGGAGGCGGAGGTGAGCTGGGGCAGGGGGTGGGGGGGCACAAGGAGGGCCACCTGCGCCACAGCAGGTTACCCGGGGGGGGGTGCTGGAGAACCGCTCCCCGCCCCAGCTCACCTCCGCCACCCTCGGCCTAAGTGTGAAGCCGCCGCCTGCTTCTCAGCCCTCCTTGGCTTCCCTCTGAACAGCTGATTCGCGGGAAACCAGGGGAGGGGGTTGAGAAGCAGAGCGGGGTGGTGCGTTCAGGGGAGGAGGTGGAGTGGAGGTGAGGTGAGCTGGGGCTGGGAACGGGGCGGGGAGCTGCCGGTGGGTGCTCTGCACCCACCAAATTTTCCCCGTGGGTGCTCCAGCCCCGGAGCACCCAGGGAGTCGGTGTCTAAGGCATCACTTTTGATGTGATCAGAGGGGGGAGTGGCCGCTCCCCACCTAGCTACGCTCCCCCGCCCCTAGGAGCCAGAGGGACCTGCTGGATGCTTCCTGGGAGCTGCCCCAGGTAAGCACCTCTGGGACTCCCCACCTCGCCCCCCCGGCAGGTGCCTCTGGCTCTTAGGGGTGGGGTGGGCACCCACTACGGTGGCGTACGAGACCCTCCTGCTCGGTTCTGGGGGCAGTCAGGGGACAGGGGAGGGGGGTGGATGGGGCAGGGGTCCTGGATGGGGCATCAAGGAACGCGGGGGCGGTTGGATGGGGCAGGAGTCCCAGGGGGGCAGGGGTGGGCAACGACCCCCCTCATGGGGTGAGGAGGGAACCTGTTGTTAAGATTTTGGCAGCTCATCACTGGACACACCCCACCAAATCCACTGACTGAGAACCTTGTACTAAGCTGCAATGCACACACTGAGTGGTTAAATATGCTCACTCCATCCCCATGATCCCCTGGCCCCTCTGTCTTTATCCATGAAGACCTGAGATCCTCTTGGCCCCATTTCTCTATTTCCAATAAACCAAACATGAGTTGGGGTGCAATTACCTTACAAAGAGAAATCTGACTAATGAATCAGATATCACATTTTCTACTTCAGTGAGCATTTTAATTATTCCAGAGATAAGACAGCTTGAACAGGATGGAATACTAATACAGGCGAGAGCCTTGCTTTATCTTAATACCTGGTGACTAATTTCTCCCTGAATTAAATGTGAAAATCATTTAGTTTAAAAATTCTCTCTCTGAAGTGCTGGTGAAGCCTCAATGGGCCTTGTTTGCATTTTAAAATATTTCCCCCCTCATTCTGCTCTGCGTATTAGGCTCTGGCAGCCAACTGATTTCTCCAGTGCACACCTCTGTTTTCTCACAGGTTTTTCCTTCTTTTTGCAAAGTTTAATAGCACTGGGCAAATGCAGGGTCTTTGTTAACGCTCTGCTTGGGTTCCAATGGTGAGACTATAATTAGCTCGATCTGGCCCTTTGCAAAGGGCTATTTCAGTTTCAAGTCCCTTTCATCCCAATGGTTTTCCATGCTGCACAAAATCCTTGCTTCCTGAGGACTTACTGGGCATAATGAATGTTCGATCGAGACAGCATTTTTCAGATAAACAGAAAAAAAATTTCAGCCTCACATCAGTTCCCAATGGCCACCCTGCCATCTCATTCAGTCCTTTGGTGGCCATCTACTGAATTTGTCCTCTTAGCGGAACTTGGAGGATGAAAACAAAGCTGAGCTCAGAGAGTCATATTTAATATGTTACCTCCTCTTGTGCCTCTGGAGTTCAATTAGTAAAATACCAATGGATTCCGCAAGATGCTGGTTTGCCCCAGCTCAAAGGTAGACACAAAAAAATCTGATAGTTTTTTACAACAGCAGGATACCTTTTAAAGTGATGGAAAAATATATCTCAGAGAGTCATTTAGACACTCTACATGGCCAGTGCCAAAAATACCTTGCAAGACCAAGGGCGAAAGCTTTATCTTGCACTGTACCAGCTTAGAGAGAACAAAGATTATCTTGCAGTATTAATTATCTTGTACATCAGAGGCAATCTGATCACTGGACAGGGGACTGGATGGAGAGGCAGGAGACTTGGGTTTATTCCCAGCACCACCACTGACTCATTGTGTGATGTTCGGCAAATCACTCCACTTCTCTGTGCCTGTTGCCCATCCCATCCTTTGTCTAGTTAGGCCATGAGCTCTTTGCAGTAGGTACTGTCTATTATTGTGGGTATATACTGTGTCTAATACAATAGGGATCAATATCAGTTGGAGCTCCTGTAACATAAAATAGAAATAGTTCAAAAGGGAAGAGGACAGATATCGTGCAGCCTATGTCTTCTCATCAATAAGGTCCACATCATTTCCTTTAATTTTACACAGGAAAGAAAAACAAATTGGAAGCTTTCCATAGAAATAGAACTCCTTTCATCTCAGCTCTGCCACTTGCTCCATTTGCCATCTGATACTGGCTGAGGTGCATCACTGCCTGGGGTGAAATACCTCTGGGAATTAAATTAAAAGTTGGCATGGAGTTTTAAATCCCCGACCGGGAGGGAGGAACAAATGTTGTGCTTGTGGCTGTCTAGACTAGGGTGCAGGAGTGAGCAGTTTGATGGAGAAGGGCTAATCCATGTGTAAACTGGCTAAGTGTGTCTGTGTATTACTCTGTAGCTGATCCACAGTGGAAGCCACCTGCTACTGCTCCCAGCTAAGGCTTTGATTCAGAAAAGCACTTAAGTATGTGTTTAACTTTAACATGTGGTCAAGACTGGTCAACTTTAATGGGACTTAAGCACATGCTTAAGGGCTTTGCTGAATGAGCAGAGTCGTTGAGCTCACCTGGTGGACAGTTGTACTTTGGAGCTACAGGCCTTAGTTTCAACTCATACCGATAGCCTGGGAGCAGGGGTTTGTTGCATGCAAAATAAAGAGAGAGTCTCAGAGAAGAATCTGTCGGCCAGAGCAGATGCTGTGAAGGAAGAATCACACTGGGATACTTGAAGGGAGTAACTCATCAGTTCATGTCCCTACCACTATCACCACATACTAATACTGTGGAAATAGATGTCACAAGAGAGATTTTTGCTGTCATTGCAATATCTGTCTTTTTGATTTCCAGTACAATCATAAATGCCTGAGTTTCTCCTCACTATGAAACATTTCATTCAAACTCTTAACAGAAGAGGGCTTTCCACTTTCAGCCATTCGCTTCCCGCAGACCCCTCCCCTTCCTTTTCTTAACATCTCTACCCCCTTGACTTCACTTCTATAATACTCCATACTCCTTCCAGAATCAACGACAAGGGGGCTGATTCTCAGAGGTGCTGAGCAGTCCTGGCTCTAGTTGTGGTGGCATTTTGGGTGCCTGACTCTTCTGACATTAAGGCCCTCAAAGTCATTGGCAAGTACTTTATTTCCAGTGAGTAGCTTTGATTTGCACCTAACCACTGGAAAATACAGGGGATAACCTCCTTATACCAGGGTTAGCTATTCTCCAGAAACAACAAACTACAATAATCATGCTTGAAATGAATTGTTTGGGACACTATTATTGTTGGGGGCCCTTTTTCCAGTGGGTGCATCTTATGGAGACATGTTTTCAATTTACAGTAAAGACAGGAAC